GTGTGTGTGTGTGTGTGTGTTGTACACTGTCATGTATGTATCTGTGAACATGAATGTACTGAGTGCATGTCTGTGTTGATGCTGAATCTATGTATGTTGATATTCTGGTATAGCCACGCAAAAGTCTGTGACAAAATGTCCTTTGTGCATCAATGAAGATGATCTTATTTTATCGGAGTCTGTTATTAGCCTAGAGGAATTACACTATGAATATATCATATTTTTGAAAGTATCTAGAATTGTGTTGAAATTTGAAGGAAACTCGATAGATTTTTGTCTGTTTTGTGACTTCCTCAGATCATCCAGTTGCCGGTGATGTTTCAGAGCGGCCACATCCACGAGCTGAGGCTGCACGTCCCGTGGACAAAGCTGGGCTCTGAGCCCGTCGTCATCACCATCAACACTGTAGAGTGTGTTCTCAAGGTCTGTACATACACCATCAACACTGTAGAGTGTGTTCTCAAGGTCTGTACATACATCATCAACACTGTAGAGTGTGTTCTCAAGGTCTGTAGAGTGATGACTTTGATCTAACATTTCCCTGTCTGTCTCAGTGAGTGGTACGAAGTCTAAAACAGCCATATGCACAGCTCACCACCGAACGCTCCGTATCCCGGACTCTAGCATGGAGATCATCAGGAGAGAATGCGTCGCTGTTTCGGGCTCTTCCTCTCTGCAGCTTTTCTGACGCAATGAGCCCCCTCACTCCCCCTCACCCCCTCCCTCCCCCTCACCCCCTCCCTCCCCCCTCCCACCCCCTCCCTCACCGATGTGAGGTCTCCATGCTAGTCCGACTGTTTTCCTCCGCTTCCAACTCTTAAGATTCGTTCCAGTCTGATAGAACTGTGTGTATTTTGTCTTGAATATTTTGACTCGTAGCATACAAAAGGCTGTGTGTGGTAGGCGGGTGCTCTAGTGTGGTTTGCTCCTTCTTTCCTATCAAACATGTATCGTTCTGAGCTCTCCTCCTTCTGTTTTGTGAATGTTACTCTTTTGTTACGCCTCTAATCGTTGGCACTTATATGACCTGATTGTGTTGCAAGCGCTGTAAAACTCTTACTAAAACTAAATACAGAAGGCTATTTCTCCTTTGTGCACAGCCAATTTTGTCCTCCAAGTTTCGCGCCTCACAAGCTCCCCCACAGCTCTCCTTCTAAATACCAGGTAGTAGAAATGAAATATCCAAACAATTATCATACAGTTTGATTATAGACAGATGAATTTGCTGGGGTCAGGTAGATTTTTGTTCTGACCGTATCTGAGAGATACTGTGTGCCAGCTGTACTGGCTCTCTAAATACTACAAGTTGAGGATGCTACTTTTTCTACAAATTTCAGAGGGCCAGAAACTTGGTGTTTTGTTCCTGTTGGGAAGATAATGTTACTTGTTTTTGTGCTACTCAGTGTGGACAGGGTGTGTTTACCTCGTTCAGTGCTCACATTGATTATTTTCAGTTATTCTGATATGATTGTGCTGTGTTGAGGTATTGCAAACAGCACGCTTTACACAAGTCATCTACTGTGTCGTCTCGCTGTCTTGCAACAGAAAGGAAAATTGTCAACAATGTAATGCGGATGTATGTTCTAACTTTCTGATTTGGTTCTAATCGAGGGGAAAAACTGTTTACTTTGTCTCTGCCAGGTTGCAGCGTGCACAGTCTTTGTCAAAGCAGACCCCCTTGGTATTCGAGAAAATCGGAGCCTTACGAGGTTTTTTTTTGCCAATGGAAGAACCACCCTGATTGGATATTTACATGAAATTCAGTATTTTTAATGAATTCCGTTTCCAATGGTCGTATGCTATTTATTATAAATGATGGGGAAATAATACATTTCTTTGCCATGATTGGTTTGTTACGTATTCTGAATATTCTTGAGATCTGGAGACTCCCAATTTTGTTCACAAACCCGGACTTTTAGGGAGTATTCTGAGAGGAAAAGTCCTTTTTTTGATCATCTAGTGGTTGGCAGGCGTGTTAACACTGGGGTCACTCTGCGCAATAATACAACAGTGAAAATTATCCATTCCGGTCCCTAGGTGCATTTCTGTGCCTGGCCCGAGAAATCTGTTGCAGTCACTCTCCTGGCTGGGTGAGCAGATGGGGTATTGTGTACTGCCGGCTGTGTGACTGCAAAGTGGTAAAGAAATAAGAAGCAAACACAGTATAAAACGTTTTGTTGTTGTCTTTTGCTCCCAGGTGCGGGACACGGCGTACGACGTCAGCTCCACCACCCAGTCCTCCAGCACGCCAGGCAAAACTGTGCAGCACAAGTAAGTGTCGATTGACTAGTGTCGCTGGTTATAATGATAATAATGATAATAATGATAATAATGATAACAATAATAAATAAAATTATAATAATAATAATGTTATGACGTGGTGGAATCAGGCGCTCGTCAAGTTTTGGGCATATGGCCTCCAATGTTTGGTAACTTCTTCAGCTTGACAGTCCGTGAAAACTGAAAATTTACATATTTTATGCCATTAATCAACGTTTTTCAGTAAAATCAATACTGAAACGTGTTTTTATAAGGACATAAAATGTGCTGAGCGGAAAAACGAAAATTCGACAAAAACTGCCAAACTGGAAGAAAAATGCTTATTTCTTCGATTTCATTATTTTGACAAGCGCCTGATTTCACCATGCTGCCTCACTCTGTATTTTGTGCTTGTCTTTCCTTCCTCAGGCAGAAGGCAAAGAGACGCAGCCAGTCGGCGGAGGAACTTCCCCCGGGTTATCTGCAGAGCATCGTGGGTCGCATCATCAACAACGTGACCTTCGTCATCAACAACCTCATCCTCAAGTTTGTGGAAGACGACATTGTTCTGTCTGTCAACGTCAAGTCGGCCGAGTGTTACAGGTACAGATTTTGTCAGCAGACATACAGACCCGCCAAATACTACAATAGAATTAATTTGATTAATTTAATTTGATTAAACTTAAAGTGATTTGATTTGATTTAAATTGATTTTAGATTTGGTTTTAATTTGATTTAGTTTATTCTGATTTGATCTGATTAGATTTGAATTAATGTAATTTAATTTAATTTCATGTGATTTCATATAATTTCATGTAATTTGATTTCATTCAATTTGTTTTCAATTATTCATCTCCCCTGTTTGTGCACAGCGTCGACAGAGGATGGAACCGAGCGTTTGTTGACCTGACACCCGACGACCTTGCCCTTCGCAAAGTCCTGAACTTTGCCGACCTGACCGTCTGCCTGGACAAAAGTAACGCCAGCGGCCACATTGAGAGCTACCAGGAGCCGCTGGCGTACCGATGTGCCCTCACGTGTAGACTCATCATGGAGTACGAGACCACCACTGCCAAGTTCCCCAGGGTGAGACTTTGATGTGGAGAAAAAGCATTTGTGTAGTGCATATGTGTCACAACACAGTAGAATAAAGCTAAGTTCCCCAGGGTGAGAGTTGGATGTCGATAAATAGCATTTGTGTAGTGCATATCCCCGCTCAACATGAAGTTCTATATGTGGGGCACGTCAAAATAACAAAATCAGAGAAACAGACGCTGAACTCATTCGCTACGCAAAGCCGTGGGGGGCGGCGCGGCTAAAGTGCCGTCAGTCCGATAAGCCGCCCCCGGTGGCTCGAAAACCGATCTTCAAGTTTAGCTTAGATTCTATTCCAATCCACATATCCATGTTAAAATAAAGGTCATAATACAATGTTGACTTCCGGATCAAGCGTTTCCTCCGAAAATCGGAAGTTTTGATTCAATGTTGAAACACAATTTCTAAGTTTATGCGATGCTCAAACCGAAAATAATACATAGCGAATGAGTTAAGCTCTTTTAGGTCCATAGAAAAACACATTTCCATTTGAATCTGACTGAAAAACATTGATTGAAGGCAAAAACATGTAAATTTTGAGTTTCCAAGGACTCTCATGCTATGAAAATTACCTAACTTTGGTGGCCATTTTCTCGCTAATTTTACCTCTGAAACCAGGCAACCCTGACTTCCTTCAATTGCAAATATTTCGACTTCTATTCAAGATAGATGGATATTCTTTTCACCAAAACGTAGGCAAATGAACAACCTTTAAGATGATACCCATAACTTCATATGCCCAAAAATTGACGAGCGCCTGATTCCACTACACAGTGACACAATTACATTGTTTAAAACATAGTAATGACATCGTGTAAGATGGCCACCTGTCTAAGAAGACTCCTCAACAATGAATGGCCGTCTTCAATTATTCCGTCTGTATGTCCCTCCCCCTTCAGATCTTGACATCTCTGATATGCGCCAAAGGAGAGGCGGGGTCAATGTGTTTGGAATGAAGGAAGGTGTAAGAGTGTGACATGTATCTTTTTTCGAACAAATTTTTGTTTAATATGTTTAAAGTAAGCCATTGGTGTGTTGCTGTTGTTTACAACTTGTATTGTGAGCTATTGGTAAGAGAATAGTATTATTTTTTGTGACCCATCGGTAAGTGGCTACCGGACTGGTAATCGTGAGGGTGCCTGTTCGGGGGTTTGAGTGGCGGAGCAGACGTTGTGTCCTTGGGAAAGGCACTGTACACGAATTTTCTTCACTTCACCCAGGTGGGAATGGGTACTCGGCCATAGACAGCGAAAGATCTTGTCAGTATGTTAGTGTTGTAGCGCCTATAAATGACTGCTTGCAATATATGCTTCCCAGGAAGTTGAGGTTGTTTCAGAATGCTCTCAGGTCTGCTGGGGTAATAGTATAGATTGTGACGCGCACAGAGCTTGCTGTTGAGTGGGGATTTGCGCTACCCAAATGTTATCTATTATCATTATTGCTATTATTTACAACTTGTATTGTGTGCCACATCGGTAAGTCAATATTATTATTACTTTTGTTGTTGTTGTCTTTTAGGCTATTCCCAAAAGGGGAATATTAACATGTTCTTATCCACAGTAGAATTGTCAATGGGCTGATTCATCAATGTCATGCTCATACTGTGCCGGAACAACATAGGTGAACTACTTCTTTTTCTTTCCTCATCCTTACTATAGTCATTTTCCCTCTACTTCTTTTGTATGTTTGTCACTCTCTTATGAACTACTATTTCCGGGGTGCCTTGATAATCAAAGAAGACTTTGTGCTGTTGAAGCTAGAGAGGTGTGCAGAGTAAGCCTGATTCCCTGTAAAGACTTCACTGTTGACATCTACCCCTTGGCGCTCATATGACCTTATGCAGCTGCGAGCGCCGTACTAAAACAAACAATTACAACTTGTATTATGAGCCTTTGGTTCGAGAATATTTGTTTTCTTTTCCTGTACCCCATCGGTAAGTGGATATTATTCTTACTGTTCCCCTCCCCCAACTGTCTCCGGCCAGGTGACGCGGTTCAACCTGTTCTGTGAGACGCTGAGCCTGTCTCTGTCCGACACACAACTCCCCCTGTTTGTGCGTCTGGTGGAGCTGTGTATCGCCATGTACTACGGCGCGCTCGACATCCCATCATCCTCCACCGCCTCCCACACAGAGGAGGCCTCCGACCAGGTCGCCATCGATGTCGGGGAGAGTCAGAATGACGGTATGTTGTCTCGTCAGTGCCGCGATAGTGTTATGCTTTAAATGAGAGGCAGCGTTGTGAAATCCGGCGCTCTTCAAAATAAGCAAAGCAAAGAAACAAGCATTTTTTCCCCCAGGATTGTGAATTCTTATCGAATTTTTCTTTTTTGGTTCAACACCGTTCTTGTCCATAAAGTGTAGATTTTTACTGAAAAACATTGATTAAAGGCACAAAAAATGTAAATGTTTTCAGTTTTCACGGACTCTAGAAAGAAATGACTTATATTTGGTATTTTTACCCCCCACCTCCTTCATTGGCAAATATCTTGACTTGCATTCAAGATAAATGGATATTTTTTCATCCAAAGCAAGATAACTGAACAAGCTTTAAGATGATACCGATAGCTCAACATGCCCAAAAATTGACGAGAGCCTTATTTCACCGCGTTGGGACACATATGGTGAAATAAAAAAATGCGGTGGAATCAGGCTCTCGTCAATTTTGTGCTCTAAATATGTCTCGTCAGTGCCTCCATGGTGTTATGTATCTAGCTTAAGATTATTATTGTTTATATTACTGTTCATTTATATTATACATGTGACTGTAAATCCGCGTGTGTGTGCATGTTTGTGTGTGTGTGTGTGTGTGTGTTTGTGTGTGTGTGTGTGTGTGTGTGTGTGTGTGTGTGTGTGTGTGTGTGTGTGTGTGTGTGTGCATGCGTGTATGTGTGTGCATGGTGAAACAGCAAACCAATGTGCTAGGATCTGGATAATAAAGATGCATCTTATCTTATCTAATCTTATCTTATCTTATCCTACCTCTAAACATGTAACTTCAGTCAAACCTGCTCTTACAAACACTTGTCCACGACACACACCTGTACAAACGACCACTCCCCCCTCCCCCCCACTTCCCACACCTTCCCCCCCTCCTCCCCCTCTCCCCCTCCCCCCCACCCTTCATGTGAAATATTTAGATTACAATGACACTATGTAAGAGAGCCCCCTGCCTAAGACAGACAATTTTCTCCTGGACGGTAGGTGGCTGTCTCAGACTGTTTCCAAGATATTGTGCTCTAAATTCTTCTTCTTCTCCTCCTCCTCCTCCTCCTCCTCCTCCTCCTCCTCCTCCTCCTTCTTCTTCTGTTTGTTATTTTTATTGTTATTATTTTTATTGTTATTAATTATCGTTATTTTATCATTAATGTTATTTTTAATATCATTATCATTATTATTATCATTATTATCATAATTACCATAATGAACCTGTCTTTGTTCCCCCCGTCCCCCCAGACCCAGACGCTGACACAGACATGTTTGACAACCCGGACCAGGGCTGGGCATCGTGGGCATGGTCGTACGTCCCGCAGATCCTGCCGGAGGACAGCGAGGACGTGGACGGTGGTGGGGGGGAGGACGGGGCGCGGCTCCGAGGGAAGCCGGCCGCACACATTCTCTCCATCGGCTTTTACATTCACCACGGCACCATTTTGTTCAAGGTGAGGTTACTTCTCGGACAAGGGCCAAAAAATCTAGGAGGTCCTGTGTGCTACTTGTGCATGTTAAAGATCCCCTGGTGATAAGAGTAGGCTTCGGCCGCCACCTGGGCAAAATTCAGAATTTTCTACCTACCGAAAATGTTTGGTGTGTCCCGAGTGGTCCTAAGTTTGGTGTGTCCCGAGTGGTCCTAAGTTTGGTGTGTTCCGAGTGATCCTAAGTTTGGTGTGACCTGAGTGATCCTAAGTTTGGTGTGTCCCGAGTGATCCTAAGTTTGGTGTGACCTGAGTGATCCTAAGTTTGGTGTGTCCCGATTGATCCTAAGAGTTATGCAGTTGCGAGCGCCGTAAAACTCTTACCTCCCCCCCCCCCCAAAAAAAATAAAATTGGTGAGATTACTGGGTTTGTTTTTTCCCCTAACCCTATGTTGTTCACATTCTTCGTCAGTACTGCCGGACAGATAATCACTTTTGTGTGGTGACATAGTTTGTCAAAATCACAAAATAGACGAAACTACCATTTTTCCATGCTTTTGGCAATTTTTATCAATATTTGTTTATTTGGCTCAACACCTGTGTCTATTAAAAGACACATTTCTAAGTCAATTTTATTGTAAAAATTTTATCCAAGGCTCAAAAAATGTTATTTTGCAGTTTCAAAGGGCGCTTAAGCTTGGGAGTCACAATACTTTGGTGGCATTTTTTCTCCTAATTTTACCTCTATTAACAGGCGACCTGACTTTCTTCAATAGCAAATGCCTTGACTTCTATTCAACTCATATGACTGTTTTTTCTTTATCAAAAGCAAGACAAATGAACAAGCTTTAAGGTGACAGCATTGCCCCATGTTTTCTAAAATCGACAAGCACCTGATTCCAACATGGCGTGACACATTTTAACAATGGCTTGCTTTCCCTTCTCTCTCCATTTTATATTCATCAGTCATAGAAATACATTTCAACAATTGTTGTTATCGATCCCGCAACATCTGGGCTCTCGCCCTTGTCATTTCAACAATTACTTCCTTACCATTCCCTCCCCGTTCCACATCCACCGGTCTCTGAAATACATTTCAACAATTACTTCCTTACCATTCCCTCCCCGTTCCACATCCACCGGTCTCTGAAATACATTTCAACAATCATTTGTTTATCCCTCCCTCCTTATTTAATATTCATCTGTCACAGAAATACATTTCAACAATTCCTTTTTCACCATTCTCTCCCGGTTCCATATCCACCGGTCGCTGAAATACATTTCAACAATCATTTGCTTACCCTCCCCTCCTCCCCTCCCCAGCTGTCGGAAAAAGCGCGGGAAAGTTCGGAGCTTCCCCATCGTAAGATTCAGTTTCACCCGTTCCTGCGTCTGTCGATGGAGGGTCTGGGGCTGGAGGTGGTGTGGCAGGGGCTCAACTTCTTCGACGTGCAGTGCGGGATTACCTCCCTTTGTCTCACCTCCTGCGGAAACTGCATCTGTGGGGCGCCCAAAGACGGGGAGAGGAAGGTGAGGTTTTAAGTTTGTAAAAAAATTTAGTGTCTTTTGGACTTTGTGAAGTCGCATTATTGTATTTTAGAATGTTTTTGTGGGAATGCATGAAAATGGTTTTGTCTGTGTCTGAGTGCATAACTGCATTCATGAATGTTGCATTTATATGTACATGATCCATATGCACAGAGGGATGGATGAATGGTGAAATGTATGAACGGATGGATGGTAGAATGGATGAACAGATGGAGAAAAAAAAATGGACAGATGAAAGCGCTGATGATTTTGACCTGCCAGTGCTGTAAAACTCTTTCTGAAACTACTACCTGTTTGGCCCCCCACAGGGCAGTGCTACTGACTGACGTGTCTTTAGGCCATTCCCGAAGAGGGGATATTAACATGTTCTTATGCACAGTAGAAATGCAAATGGGCTGATATATCAATGTCATGCTCATACTGTGCCGGAACAACATAGGGGGAACTGCTGCTTTTTCTTTCCTTATCCTTACCATCGTCATGAATTTTTTTCTCTCTTTCTTTTGTATGTTTGTCACTCTCTTGTAAATTGCTATTTAGGGGGTGCCTTGATAGTCGAAGCAGACTTTGTGCTGTTGAAGCTAGAGAGGTGAGCAGAGTAAGTCTTATTCCCCGTTTGGACTTCTCTGTTGACATCCACCCCTTGGCGCTCATATGACCTTATGCAGTTGCGAGCGCCGTAAAAACCTTACTAAAACTAAAAAACTAAAAAGTCTGTCCATCATGTCCTGACAGTGGGTGGTTAGCGGGTGCTCTGGTGTAGTTTAGTCCTTCTTTCTTTCAAACATCTATCGTCTTTATCTCTCCTCCTTTTGTGTGTTTGTTACTCTCTTGTAATACCTCTAATCTTCGGCACTTATGTGACCTTATTGTGTTGCAAGTGATGTAAAACTTCTACGAAAACTAAAAAAACCGTCCTGACAGAGCAACATTCTCCTGAGTGGCGGGGAGCCGCTGGACAACAAGGTCGGCCTGACCTACATCTCCAACTCGCTGTTTGACGACCTGTCCTGGGAGAACCGGGGTCAGAGGTCGCAGCACATTGTGGACGGAGAGGAACATCGACAAGTCTACTCGGAGCAGAGCGCCAACCAGAGGTTTGGGGCATTCTGGGTAGACAGTCTGTACACCTACGAGAAACCGGAGAAAAGGGGAGGTAAGTGACGGAGTGTAACAGACACTGAGGCCTAATGATGATTGTATTGTCAGTTTGGTATTTTTTGAGTGTTTAAATCTAATCAGCTGCTTGCACTGTATGCTTCCCGCGAAGCCAAGAGTGTTTTTGAGTTTTTGAGTATTCTGTGGTTTGCTATGGTAATAATATTTATATTGTAAAGCACATAGAGTATGCTGGTGAGAGCAGATAAGAGTTCTACAAATTCTATTTACAACTATTATTATTATAATAATCACATGCATTGGAAAAAAAAATGGACATTCTGTATTTTGTGTTGTGGATTGTCTTTATTTTAGTCCACTGGTCACTTTTTGGAATTGTAAATTTAAAACAAATTGTTTTTTTCTTCACTCCTATAGCAGGCAGCAATTCCTCGGAGACAGACAACTCAGATTCCATCTTCCAACGGGAGTTCTCTACCCTTCGCTTCCTGTTCGGCAACACGCGGCTGAACTTTTCGTCATCTCTGTATCACCGCGCCATGAAGTTCTGGCACTGCGCGCTGGATCATCAGTATCTGCCCTATGGTGGGGGTGTTTCTGGTGAGTGGAGTGAGGGAGGGGAGGAGGGGGGAGGGGATGGAGTGAGTGAGTGAATGAATGAATGAATGAATGAATGGATAATGTGGAGTGAGTGAGTGAATGAATGAATGAATGAATGAATGGATAATGTGGAGTGAGTGAGTGAATGAATGAATGAATGAATGAATGGATAATGATTCCTCAGTGTGAGGTTTAAATTTTGTTTTTTAATGTAAGTGTTTTTACATTTCCATCTGTTGCGGAACACAGCACTAGTATGATTTAAACAACAACACTTTGAAATACCAAGGGAAAAACTCTTGCTGTAGGTGCTGAATACTTTATTTTTCAATAAGTGTAGTGCATTGTAGATTTCCCGCGATGGGTAGACCCTGGCTCTGTCCCTTCCTATATCTAACGTCCGACCGTTCGACTGTCCTGCCAAAGGGCCGTGAGTGACCGATTATATATATATATATATGTATATATATAAGCCCCAGCACTAGATCCCCGTGCTCCGTACGAGACCCCTGTGTACCGCAGTAAATGTCGATTACTGTGGTGAAAAGTGGCCAAGTATCCACAACACCATCAACACAAATAAGATCATTTAGGAGGCGGGCTTCCGACCCTGCCTGTCAGGTTCAACACGGGCTGAGAGGGATACAGTATCCCAGCAGAAAGACAGAGATACTTGATAGAACATAGCAGAAAGACAGAGATACTTGATACGACATAGCAGAAAGACAGAGATACTTGATACAACGTAGCAGAATTACAGAGATACTTGATACTTCCCAGCAGAAAGACAGCGATACTTGATAGAACATAGCAGAAAGACAGAGATACTTGATAGAACATAGCAGAAAGACAGAGATACTTGATACGACATAGCAGAAAGACAGAGATACTTGATACTTTCCAGCAGAATTACAGAGATACTTGATACTTCCCAGCAGAAAGACAGCGATACTTGATAGAACATAGCAGAAAGACAGAGATACTTGATAGAACATAGCAGAAAGACAGAGATACTTGATAGAACATAGCAGAAAGACAGAGATACTTGATAGAACATAGCAGAAAGACAGAGATACTTGATACGACATAGCAGAAAGACAGAGATACTTGATACTTTCCAGCAGAATTACAGAGATACTTGATACTTCCCAGCAGAAAGACAGCGATACTTGATAGAACATAGCAGAAAGACAGAGATACTTGATACAACGTAGCAGAAAGACAGAGATACTTGATACAAATTTTTCTTTAACTCAAACTTAAATCTCCTGTGCGTGGCAGCAAACCGCTTAACCACTACAGCACAGACGCTGATGAATAAATTGCTGAATCCTGGTCAAGCTTTGTTTTAGCGATGCTGTTTGTCTGTTTTAAAACGGTATTGGTGAACCATTGGAAAATGTTCTTGATCCATCCAGCGTTCATTGACAGTAGACTTTGTTTCCAGCTGGTTGATCAGGGTGGAATTTTGCGAAAAAAAGTGCTTTTGACTTTCTCTCTACACATACACAAAAGTTGTCTTGCCATTACATATGAAATGTAGATATTTGTTTTTATCTATTAATTAAAATGTTTAATTTTCTGAAGCCATTTACAAAAAAACTGGAAGTGTTTTTACACAGAAATTCTTGTTTGTGTGCAATATACAATTTAAACTCCATGTATTTTAACATGTGTTTTTACCTTTCCCATACAGCCACAGGGGATTTCCCATAATGGCAATAAAGTATTGTCCTGTCCTACTCTTCGTATCTTATCTTATTTCATCTCATTTGATCTCATCTCATCTCCTTATCTTATCTTATTTCATCTCATTTGATCTTATCTCATCTCCTTATCTTATCTTATTTCATCTCATTTGATCTCATCTCAACTCATCTCATCTCATCTCTATCCCATCCCATCCCATCCCATCATTTTATCTTATTTATTTTTTCATCAGCTCACAGCCCCTCATCGGAGGACCGACCCAAACCCACAGAGGAACAGGTCCAGTCGCTGGAGGACTTCATCCCCACTCGCCTCCTCCACCTCACCTTCCTCAACCCCACCGTCATGGTTCTCGGCGCAGAACACCCGCCCTGCGATGTCGCCCGCCGCAACTACAAGAGCCGCCACAAGAAGAGGGTGAGCCATTGGTGAATGGTTCCGTTCATTAACGGTTGTTCTCCCGAGGGTGTTTTCCCATAATGCCCGAGCTCTCTCTTGGTACAAAACCTGAGAGTAACACACACACGCCCCTAAATTGGTTATTTAATGTCGCCATCCAGTAAGAAACCCGAAGCCTTTGGTGAGACAATTGGATGGGACTGATCCTCTTGTCGGTGGAAATGAAAAAGTGATTTTTAAAACAAAGGCCCAAAATGTCAGAGTTATGTTTGACAACTAATTGTGTGTACACCACCAGGTCCAAACTCTATGTAAGACGGCATATTTAGAGATCCATAAGAATAAAACCCATAAGTCAGTCACAGAGATCTTTTGCCACAGGTCGGCTTTGAATAGTTTGATGAATTTATTGAATGCAGAAAAATGTTCATGAGGGG